AATATCTATAATATTTTATTTTAAAAACATTTTTTTCATCTATAAATTTGCAAATTTTGTTTAGAATATCAAGTTTTTCAAACTAACATTTGTGGGTCAATTCTATTTGATTGTAGATGACTCAATCAGCTGTTTGTAAAGTCATCATGTAATATAGATGATATATTTTTAGAAAATCTTTTTTTTTCCTCAGAATAAACATCTAAGTATGAATAAATCGAATATGATTTTTTTTGCAGATTAATTCTTTAAAATTCAGATTAATTTAAGCTTTGATGTATGAAATTCCATTAAATTAAATTCTATTTTTTTTAAAAAAATTTCAATAAAAAATATCAGAAAGTAAGTTTTCCCCATACTTTACACAAAATTTTGACTATTTAAGTTTGATTGAGCTTTGACAGTATTTTGGAAAATCAACTTAAATCACATAAATAAATTAAATTTTGTATGAAACGTTAATATTTTGATGTTTATTAATATTATTGTAATTACTTTCTGTTATTATAAAAAATGTTTTTTTGTTGTTGTAAAAAACAATGTAAGCATGTTAGGTTTATCACTTTCAGTTATCTGATTAAAAATCAATCAGATTGATTCTATACAAATTTTTGTAGGTTGCATTCATTTTGTAAGAGTTATATCTTTTGTTCAAAACTTTAACTTATCTTTTTATACTAACTATGTCAATGTACATAAAAAATTGAAAATTGATAGCATTTTTCATACATATAACTTTTGTGAATATGCATTTCTGAACATTAGATACTTCTTCCACATATTGCTTTATTTGAAATTTAATTCTCCAACGTCCAATTTTTTTAATTGCAAGCGAATATCATCCATTCAAAGTTGCAACGCTTCTCAAGTTATAAATAATTTCTTATTGGCATTTCATCCTTCTTAAATACTCACTCCAATCTATTGTCGACAAAGGTTGATATGAACAAAGAAAATTCTACAGAATGTAAAATAAATTTTTTTAACTCACTCGATGATAAATACGAATACTTTGCAAAATTCGTCAAAGGTTTTAAACTAGCTTCATATATCCTTAAATTTAATATTAAATTGAGCAATACGTTTTTGAACTTTGCTAGTCTAATATTTTTCAATAACATTCAATAATTATGATGATGTATACATTTGAATTTCCGGTTAAACTTTGGTCTTAGACATCCTCACTCCTAAAATAGCGAAAATTACCTTTGTGTAAAAAATCATGTTCCGTGTTATAAATGAATATTATCAGTTAAGATTCTTTGATATTTTACTTTTTGTATGTATGACATGTTTTATTATATGGCTGTAATATGGATTCACATGCTAGTAATCTTTTGACAAAATATATAAATCAAGTATAATCTTCACAAAATTGAATGTTCATTTGCATTTGCATTAAATGATCTATCATGTACTTTATGCAGATTACTCACTCAGTAGATACTAGTTTTTTATATGGTCAACCAATCATAATTGTGTTGTGTAGCTCAAACTGTAAACAACAAAGCTAGCTTAACCTGGAAAAAGGACATTTCATTTAAACAAAAATGTCTAGTTTGTATGAAATTAAAGTCATCTTCATGCGATTCTTAGGTCTCACAACCCTTTTCATTCATCCAACTATTTCACACTTTCATAGTTATCCCCACGGCAAGCTTTAACTTTTTTCTATATATCCTCAAACCCAATCCTTGCTATGTTTGCTTGACATGCTCATTTGGACTAAATCCTATAATCGATATGTTGACTTTGGATCAGTGAAGTATTTACATCAGTTTTGCTGTTCAATTCATTTTCGGAAGTTAAATTCCCAATTATATTCTTGTTCGTCGTACAGAGCGCAAGGTCTTTGTTACTACCATTCTTTCAGATTGATATTGATGCTCTAGTCCTTGAAAGAAGAATATAAAATTGCAAGCGACTCATTGTTAAAAAAGCTAGAAAGATGTACTTAGTTCATTTTTAAGGTTTAGACCAAATCATCTTCAATGCCTTGACTTTCCTCATAGTCAGAGATCTACAGTGAAAAGTACTCAGCATCCATCAACAAACTATTGCATATATCAAAATTAGAAAAAACTTAAGTGAAAAAGGTGGATGGAAGCATAAGCGGTTGATTGGATCAGAAGCAAATTCAAGATAAATTGCATGTAGTATAAAAAACTAAGTGCAAAATTCCTGAAAGTGTGCTTTGCACTCCTTCTACCTTGAAGTTTGAAATCCTGACCATGCCATCTGTACGATATGTGAATCTCAATCCTTGAGGATTCGATTTTTGAAAATGTCGCCTTGCACCGACCAAATGACCAAAGTAACAAAAAGTAACTAGTCAGAGCCCATGTTGACTTGGTCTACTTGAGGAGAATTGGATTATGGTCCCCATCTAATGAAAAAAACTGATAACACCTTTCAAATATCTTAAACCTCTTATCATCAACTTAAGCTCTTAAGCTCATCATAAGCTTGGAATATTTGTAATAGACTGAATTTTCAGAAGTCAGCTAGTTTTGAAGACGGTCTAATTGTGAACTCAGTTTGTTGGAGTATATGGATAAAAACTCATGTCCTATACACCAAATGTTGGGGTTAATACAAGCGTTGCTGGGAAGATCGAAAGCTTCTGAATATTTCAACTGTATACGGTGAAGAGGATCTATTTTCTGCGACAAGTATTTCTTGAAATACGTCTAATATGCCATATATTAAGATGATTGTGACTTAGAACATCGTCTGTTGAGGTTTTAAGACTCTTTATATCGGAAATTTGGTCTAAGTCACTATGTTAGTCTTGGAAAAATATTAACCATCGTCTTTGTGATATTGAACATAGGAAATTCAATTGAGTTTCAATCTCTTAGTGTAAAGAACCAATGAGTTGTGGATCTCTCAACAGGGAAAACACAACTAGGAAGACGCAAGCTAGGTAGAACTGGGGAAATATGCAGCCTTGCATCTTTGACTTGAGGAGGAATCTCCTCAAGTCAAAGATGCCACGAAGAAATTTGGATTCCCACTTATTCACTAAAAAGTTGAATGTCTATGCACTCGGTTTGATTGACTATCTTCCCCTAGACATATCTGCTTGGACTAGTCTGAATTTCTGTGAATTCAAAGCTTACTTGTGACGAGAGACCACAAAGTTTGTAACAGAGAGAGCCTGTCGCTCAGATTTGATGATAGTAATAATAAAATCATCATTGTACTTGATAGTAATCATTTGATAGTTTATAAATGTGTAACACGTGACGTATTTTGAATTGTCTGCTCTCAATGCTCAAATGTAAAGATTAGAAATAAATATGTTGATTTTTCCAAGGGTGCAAAAAAAACAACATTTTGAATCACTGAGAAGGTTAGAATGAAAGGGTTTTCATGCTAGTATACAAATACTTATAACTTTTCATTTCAAAATCCTCTTTTCTTAATGTTGTAATGTTTACGTTTATCTCTAGCAATCTTTTAGAATATTTTAAGAATCTTATTTTCTTAAAATAAGAATTCTATTTATATTTCAGCAAGCTTTTGTTTATTGTTCACAATTGTGCCTATTTTTACATAATACCTAATCTTACTATGTATTCTTGCTATTGTGTTGAAAGTAGCTTGGGATTTTTTATGGATTTAGCCTATATTACAGAATAATTGTTTAAAAATTTGGAAACCATCTCCAGCAGCACCATCCCAATGCAATCAGACCAAAAGAAACTTTCTTTATTACATTGTTATGATGATTAGTGAATATTGTCTTTATAGAACGTTGAATATGATTTAGATTTGAACTAATAATCTTGTAGATTGTATGGATATCAAACATATTACAGTATTTGGATTATTGTACACGTATTTTCAAAAATTTTTCTGATCATATAGTTGTAAGAAGGAGAACCATAGTTTTTGTGCAATTTCTCAATAAGCTATGATCAAATGATGTTTATGATATTATATGTAAACTTATCTGAAAATAAAAATTAAGTTGTTTTGCAAGAATGCATTAAGAAAAAGTTTTTTGCAAGAATGGCATCGTTGGCCATGGCCAACGATGCAATTGGTGGCCAGTACTTTAGCCAAGATATCTAGATTATATGTCAATTTAGAAATGATGTACTTATTACAGAGATTTGATTGATTTTATATTAAAATCATTTTCCGGAAGATATACATTCTCGCTCATGAATGCTTTCGGAAGGGGTGCTTCACATTTTTTGGTCTCGTCTCAAGTGATCTTTAAAATACCTAGAATTCAGTCAGATAAACGTGCTTTGCATGGAGCCGAGGTGGATAAAGGGAAGTGCGACTTGACTTGTTAGATGCTCATGCTTCCCAGTGCGACATGTATTTAAAATGTTGCGAAGCTGTCGATCTCTCAGAAACTCTAGTATCTATTCCCGGCGTTTTTCCTGTATCACTTGAGTTTTCATCCATATACTCCAACAAATTGAGATCACAATTGGGCAGCGAACGAGTCTTCAGAACGAGCCAATCTCTCAAAATTCAGTCAATTACAAATTTTTCAAGCTTATGATGAACTGGGTTAAAGAGAATCTTTTTCAGGAGATGGGGACAAATTTTCTAATGATGTAGAGCAGGTAGTCATAAGCCCTAGTCATCTCGAAGATGCAGACTTCCGAAGAGCTTCTTGACTCCTTTTTGCTGGACTTGAGAGCCTCAAGATGATTATATTAAAAGATGAACAGCTGGAGCAGCTATTGAAGGAGTTGGACCTTTGTTGTCGAGTAGAGGTAAGCAAAGCTCTACGTTTATAATTGGACCAGCGACCAAACTGAAAAAAATATTTCTAACCATGCTAGTTCTTTCAAAACATGAACTGCCTGCGTCCTATCTGACGGTAAGAACGAGTGAACACGATCGCATATGCAATTTACATGTTATTATTCTTATTTCATGTCTGGAAAATATGAATCACTTGTTGGGTGCCTCTTGCATAATTTACAATCTTCCAAAATGATCTATTACTATAAATGAATTGACAGACGAGTGTAAACTTCAGGTCTCCACAGAAGTGGTGTGTTTATTGCAAAAGAATGCGTGTGTGACAATGCAAAAGCTGAACCCTTCATGAGGGCGAAAGAATACAGATAATTTGATGTCTGTTAATTCTGAAACTGCTTGTTTGTATTTACCCTTCAAAACGAATGCTTACGGCTTCTTCGATCTCAGTTGAGCTGAGAAAAGTACGACCGTGCATGAGATCCGGAAAGTTGGATGGTGGATCTCATCAGAGATCCATCATTGAAAATCTTGCTTGATGTCCGAGAAATAGAAATCGATTGTTGGGTTGGTTCTTCGAACTCCCTTGGAGACGATGGTGACGACGACGTCGGTATTCCAGTCTGCAATACCCAGCCTTCTGAGGGCCTGACCGACGCTGTAACGGATGTTGAATAATCGGAACTGGCCATCAGATTCTGTCACCGAAGAATGCGAGACTGAGGCGCTCATGTCCACCATGCCGCTGGGAAGATGAGTGAAGGTACCGACGTACTCTGACATGTACAGGTGAGTCTCCCTGTTGGCTTCTGGGAAGTTCAGGAAGACATCAAATCTGGCGTAGGCCGAGTGTGGTATCCTCATCTTCTCCAACACAATGTCTTCCTGCAACTGGTTCAGATGCTTCAAGCCCTTTCCTTTCAGGTCTTTCTTCGTAGGAGCACGGCGCGCCAGCTTAAAGCTTGAGGGAACCTTACCGATGGTGTTGTTGCCGGAGGGAACCACTGCAGGCCAGTGGCTGGGATTCCAGGGCTCCGATGGTTTGTGCGGAGGCAGGGGCTCGTAGTTGATCCACAGATTGTCGGACTCGCTGACGTCTGCGTACTTGTACCCGAGCTTTGAACTGTCAAGGCTGTCTCGGATCGTGACGATAACCATATCCTGGTTCTCGTCGAAGAAGGTGAACTCCGAGTCGAGGAAATCGCTGGAAGTGTAGTCGACTCTCTGGCGGTTTCCTGCAATGGTGACCTTGTCGGGGATGGTTTTCCACACGTCCCAGAGGCGGTCGACGTTGGAGTGATGAGTGTAGAAGATGGGGTCCCGAGCAGCGTAGATGAAATTGCCCATGTCCTCGTTGTCGGGATGGGCCGGATTGTTGATGAGTCCGGTCCACTCGTGCGCAACGTTGTGGACGATCTCCATTCCGCCGGACTCGCCAGGAGTCTCACCCGCAGCGACATTCACGGTTGCAGCCGTGTTGTTGGTCCCCACGACGTAGGGGCCGCCCAAAAAGCTGCGGGCGCTGATTTTGGTCACCACCTGGTTGTACATGACACACAAGTTCTCGTATCTGATCTGCTCGTCCGTGAGGTTCTGTTTGCCCTCGGCTTCGAGCTTGCCATTGTATCCCAAGTAGAGGATTTTCGGAGGCATGTGGTTGGGGTTTCTGTTGACGTCAGTCAAGGCCGAATTGTTGACGGGGAAGTTGGGAAGGAACATGAACGGCATCATGCCCGCGATGGGGTCCAGCTGATTATCCCAGTTCCAGAACGGGAGGGCGAAAGTGGGATCGCCGATCAGATCCCCCAGAATCCTCTCGTGGTAGTACAGATACATCCTGTGCCACGGAAGAAATGTCCAGCTGTAATGGATTTGAAGCAGAACGCCGGTCGCTTTGCCCAGAGGGCCTGGTAGCTCCCGCTGCTTGAAAGCTTCGTTGCAGAAGGAGCAGTGGACTCTCCACTGGTTCAGAAAACTTCTGGGATCGCTGTCCGGCAGTGCTTTCATTCTGGCGTAAGCTAGATTGTACTTTCTCACGTACTCAGGATCGTTCTGGACTACATGGACCGGCTTCCTCTCGCGCACAACGGGAGGACCTCCGTTTGCGCAAGTGGGGAACTTGAACCTGATGGGTTTCCTTGTTGGTGCCGGGAGGCAGCAATGCAGCGGAGCTCCACGCAGCACTGGGACGGTTTTACAAAATCCCAGACTCGATGCTAAAATTGGTTCTGCACTGATGCTGTGGGGGAGATACTGGATGCAGAGAAGCGCGCAGCACATGGAAACGGCCCACAGGAGCTGGACTCGCACAACACCCGCATTGCCTCGTCCCTGACCTTCCCCTTGCAAGGAGAAGAAATGTCGACGGCATGTAGCCGCCATTGCAGCAAAATTGAAATTGGACCTGTGGACATTCAACGAAATTCATGAGAACTGAGTTTCCAAGTCAGAAGCATGTGCACATTCTTAAACTCGCATTCTTAATCTGCTTCACACTGAAAAGTTGGAGCTGCCGTCATCCTCCATGCAAGTATTTGAGCTATGCATATGACTTGCCACGACATTAGACTCTTAACTCCTTGTATAAAGGTGGAAGACATACGCCCTCGAGCTTACCTCAATGCCGCAATAGGATCTTATTCCAAGAGCTCGTTCTTGCTTCAAACCTCGACGGTTGAAGAAATGACGTTTCTTGTATCACACTCGGCGTAAAACTGGCCTGATCTGTTCTTCACTCGTCATCCGGTAAAGAGTCAATTAGCGCCGTATGTAATGCCAGCCCGAATACCTTGTCCGGTTTAGGGGCTGAGAAGACTTGAACATGCTGAAGAAAGCACACCTCGGCAGACTTTATAGTATGTCACAATCCATCTCCGCCATGAAAGGATCATCATCTGAATGAAATTCAGTGATCGTGAAAGAAACTGCTCATCGCTTAGAGATAACAGTAACAGTCTACTGACAGCCAGACAATCCAAGTGTTTTTCCACTTCGTTTAATCTAATGAAATTTTGGAACTTGATCTTTGTCTTCCCCTGTGACGATGCGTTGCCTAGCATAGTAGCCAAGATTCAGCAAAATCCGTTCCAATGATACCAAATCAGGAGCACTAGTATCAGTCAATCGTTCCACTATTCGCCTTTCTCTTGAAACGATTTCACATGGGTGACTACCCAATCGAACAGAAATGTACTTGATATTTTTCAATGCTCAGTTACCGACTGCCATAGGACATTGTAAGCATTGAAGATGTGGCAAACCCACAAAACTTCACAGAGGGCTGCTTCGTAGACTGTTCATTCGTTCAGACTTGCAAACGCTTATTCGACTGAACAGTTCTTCCATTTCACGTTAGTGGTGGCTCTAAACTCCTGTTCACCCAGCCTTCGTCACCGTGTTACTGAGCTTCTAATAAAGATCCACTCATCCATCCTGTAGGAACTTGTAAATTCAGCATTCTCTCAATGGCATTTTTAACCAATGCATCATAAGAAGCCAAATCGTTGTTGTAATAGTATCGTAAATTTCGTCATCAGATTAAGCATATTAAATTCTGGACCAGGTACACTATCTATTAGCATTGATTCCTTGTGAAAGATTTTCCTCCTTATGGATATCTATCCATAAGGATGGAAGCCATGCACTATCTAGATTTGATTTCCACTTCAGGTTAGAGTTCCAAAATGCTCGATCGACGTTATAATAAAGTTTAGGAGATTGTAGAAAGGGCGGCTGTATCTTATTATTATACTCCTCCCTCACAATGCGCTCTGCGTGTTACCTGCTCGTGATATGCCTTTGCATGTTGATATGGATGGATGCCTGTCATTTTATATCGCTTTGGATATAAGGAGCACTACTGTGTTAGAAGGATGGAGCACGTCCGTGACATCATCCATCGAAGCTATTACTCGATGTCATGCCAGGGCAATTCCATAGAGATGCGCACATGTAAATCTTACAAAAGTACCACTGCAGCTCCGACAAGTGAAGGTGCATCTGTCTGAAGAAGGAAGTAGAAAGTGTTTGGCAACTTGGCCACGACAAGGTTTCGACTGTGCACTCGCTCGCGTTGCAATCGCGCAAGCAGGTACATCTTGCATTCTTGGTCGGTTTGTAAATCACTTTGCTGTAGTTGAACTGGATTCGAAAGGCTTGTTATTAGCTTAGCCTTCCTGAAAAGAGGACAACGTTCATTTTATCTGGTGTTTAATCAGGTAGACCTTGGGCCATGATGAAGAAGCAGTTTTGGCGTAGAGTTCAGAGTCATGGATTCTCTGCACGGCCTTGACACTTAGTATGTGCTTACCACGAACTCTATTTTTCTTAGAAAATCACATGTCCACACTGATCAAAGAATCTTCAGTATAATATCTTCTCAGATTTTGTGCTTCCTTTTTCGTTGGCTGAGATTGTTTCTTGACTCGCGTTCGAAACCTGTGCCTTCGAGATCAAAAGTAAAATTTATTCATAGACATAGCAAAATTTTCTACAGCAATATTTTCTCCTTATAGTCTCGTGGCTGGCACATCAGAAGACTTTAGGTCTGTACTTGTCTCAGAATGAAGGATTTTTGAAACAAAACTTCATCAGTAGCTATCACCAATTTCTTCGTTGTGGATGTTATTTGAAAATGTCTTTCAGGTTCGTATGTTTTGCTTAAAATAGTCAAACTCAGTGCATGTGTAGTATATTCTAATTATCATTATAGTATGATCATAGTGGCCTAGCAACTTCATCAATCATTAGACATCATTCTCACGTAGTGAGAGTCAACAGATATTGTTCGATCATACTTTTCTACAGGAAGATTTTCTATAAAACCGGGGCCAGAGAGATTCAGCTATTGAAAACAGGTGGGAATTAATAATAAACAGCATGGAACTTTGGACAACATATTTCAGAACAATATTTGATATTAGAGTTTACACTATAATAGATACAGTTTTAGTAAAAAATTTTGTTAAGTGACAAAGATAATTGATGAGACTCAACGTGAGGTTGCCATAACGGCAGATTACGAGTGAAACACCTGCTGCTGCTCGAACAGAGGGTTACTCTGTTCAAAGTAACATACACCATGAAGAAATTGGTGGTAGCTACTGATAATTTATGTTCTAAAACCCCTTCATGCTTTGCTTGTTTCAGAATGAAGGAGTAAATTTCCTAATGTGCCAGCTACGAGAGAATGAGGAGAAAATATTCCTGGCGGCATTTTTTCCATCTCTGAGAAAAATTTTATGTTTTGAGCTCGAAAGCAGAGGTTTCGAACGAGAGTTCAGAGCAATCTCAGTACAAGTGAGCACAACATCTGAGAAGATCTTACGCGAAGGAGTCTAAGATCACTAGAATCATCTGATTTTCTACGTAGAATTGAGTGTGAACCTTGGAAATATAGATGAAAGGTTGAGATCAAGTTACGGTACGTGGTTTATGTTTATGTTTACCATTTACCATTTGGTATGCAGCACATACGACACACTGTTAAGGTCGTGCAGAGGGTTGAAACTTTCTTCACATGACTCTCAACTCTAGTTCAAAACTGTTTCATCATCATGCCCGTCGTCCACCTGGTTGAAGGAGGAATCGGGTGAATGAATTGTGTCCAGTTTTTAGGAAGGCTAACAGATAACAAGCCTTTGGCATCCGGTTCAACTACAGCAACTCGATACATAAACCGACCAAGATTGCAAGATGTACCTGTTTGCGGTATTGCAACGCGAGCATGCACAGTCAAAACCTTGTCGTGACGAAATTGCTTAACACCTTCTGCTTACTTCTTCAAACAGATGCACCTTCACTTGTCGGAGCTGCAGTGCTGTTTTTGTAAGATTAACATGTGCGCAACTCTTTGTAGTTGCGCTGGCAAGACAGGGAGAAATGGCAAGTCTTCATAATGGATGATGTCACCGATGTCCTCCAAGCTTCTTGCACATTAGTGTTCCTTTTCTTCAAAGCGATTTTAAATTGCAGGCATCAATCTATATCAATGTGCACAGGCATCTCACGAGCAGCTAATACAGCACAATGTGAGGGAGGAGTATACAGAAGGATACAGCCGCCCTTTCTAGAACCTTCTAAATTTTAATTAACATTTATCAGGCATTCTCAATCTAGATGCTTAAGTGGAACTCAATCTTAGTTAGTGCATGGAAAACAACCTACAGGGAAGTATAACTGATTATCAAAATTTGATTCCTATAGGATGAATGAGTAACATTTTACTAGAGGCTCAGTAACAGGGTGACGAAGGCTCGGTGAAGAGTGTATCAAAGCTGCCACCAAGGTACAAGGGAAGAACTGTACTGTCAAAGAAGCTTCTATCACGTCAAGGAAAAACAAATGAACGAATGCACAGACCAGGGAAAAACTCTCTGCGCTGTCACATTTTGAATACTTTCATGTGTCTCATGGCACTCAGTAACTATGGAATAGTAATTAGTGCATTCATGTTCGATTGTTTAGTCACCCATGTGATAACCTTCTAAGAGAAATGCAACTAGTGGAACGAATGACTGATACTGGTGTTCCTGATTAGATATCATTGGAAGGGACTTTGCTGAATCTTGGCTACTATGCTAGGCAACGCATCGTCACAGGGGAAGACAAAATCAGGGGTTCCAAAATCTCATTAGTTTAAACGAACGAAGTGGAAACGAAGTGGAAAAACACTTGGATTGTCTACCTGTTAGTAGACTGTTACTGTTATCTCTAAACTACGAGCAGTTTCTTTCATGATCATTGAATTTCATTCAGATGATGTTCCTTTCCTGGCGGAGATGGATTGTAACATACTATAAAGTCTGCCGAGGTGTGCTTTCTTCAGCATGTTCAAGTCTTCTCAGCCCCTAAACCGGACAAGGTATTCGGGCTGGCATTACATACGGCGCTAATTGACTCTTTACCGGATGACGAGTGAAGAACAGATCAGGCCAGTTTTACGCCGAGTGTGATACAAGAAACGTCATTGCTTCAACCGTCGAGGTTTGAAGCAAGAACGAGCTCTTGAAATAAGATCCTATTGCGGCATTGAGGTAAGCTCGAGGGCGTATGTCTTCCACCTTTATACAAGGAGTTAAGAGTCTAATGTCGTGGCAAGTCATATGCATAGCTCAAATACTTGCATGGAGGATGACGGTAGCTCCGACTTTTCAGTGTGAACCGGATTAAGAATGCGAGTTTAAGAATGTGCACATGCTTCTGACTTGGAAACTCAGTTCTCATGAATTTCATTGAATGTCCACAGGCCCAATTTCAATTTTGCAGCAATGGCGGCTACATGCCGTCGACATTTCTTCTCCTTGCAAGGGGAAGGTCAGGGACGAGGCAATGCGGGTGTAGTGCGAGCCCAGCTCCTGTGGGCCGTTTCCATGTGCTGCGCGCTTCTCTGCATCCAGTATCTCCCCCACAGCATCAGTGCAGAACCAATTTTAGCATCGAGTCTGGGATTTTGTAAAACCGTCCCAGTGCTGCGTGGAGCTCCGCTGCATTGCTGCCTCCCGGCACCAACAAGGAAACCCATCAGGTTCAAGTTCCCCACTTGCGCAGACGGAGGTCCTCCGTTGTGCGCGAGAGGAAGCCGGTCCATGTAGTCCAGAACGATCCGGAGTACGTGAGAAAGTACAATCTAGCTTACGCCAGAATGAAAGCACTGCCAGACAGCGATCCCAGAAGTTTTCTGAACCAGTGGAGAGTCCACTGCTCCTTCTGCAACGAAGCTTTCAAGCAGCGGGAACTACCAGGCCCTCTGGGCAAAGCGACCGGCGTTCTGCAACCAGGTGGTGACCAAAATCAGCGCCCGCAGCTTTTTGGGCGGCCCCTACGTCGTGGGGACCAACAACACGGCTGCCACCGTGAATGTCGCCGCCGGTGAGACTCCTGGCGAGTCCGGCGGAATGGAGATCGTCCACAACGTTGCGCACGAGTGGACCGGACTCATCAACAATCCGGCCCATCCCGACAACGAGGACATGGGCAATTTCATCTACGCTGCTCGGGACCCCATCTTCTACACTCATCACTCCAACGTCGACCGCCTCTGGGACGTGTGGAAAACCATCCCCGACAAGGTCACCATTGCAGGAAACCGCCAGAGAGTCGACTACACTTCCAGCGACTTCCTCGACTCGGAGTTCACCTTCTTCGACGAGAACCAGGATATGGTCATCGTCACGATCCGAGACAGCCTTGACAGTTCAAAGCTCGGGTACAAGTACGCAGACGTCAGCGAGTCCGACAATCTGTGGATCAACTACGAGCCCCTGCCTCCGCACAAACCATCGGAGCCCTGGAATCCCAGCCACTGGCCTGCAGTGGTTCCCTCCGGCAACAACACCATCGGTAAGGTTCCCTCAAGCTTTAAGCTGGAGCGCCGTGCTCCTACAAAGAAGGACCTGAAAGGAAAGGGCTTGAAGCATCTGAACCAGTTGCAGGAAGAAATCGTGTTGGAGAAGGTGAGGATACCACACTCGGCCTACGCCAGATTTGATGTCTTCATCAACTTCCCAGAAGCCAAAAGGGAGACTCACCTGTACATGTCAGAGTACGTCGGTACCTTCACTCATCTTCCCAGCGGTATGGTGGACATGAGCGCCTCAGTCTCGCAGTCTTTCGTGACAGAATCTGATGGCCAGTTCCGATTATTCAACATCCGTTACAGCGTCGGTCAGGCCCTTAGAAGGCTGGGTATTGCAGACTGGAACACCGACGTCGTCGTCACCATCGTCTCCAAGGGACTTCGAAGAACCAACCCAACAATCGACTTCTATTTCTCAGACATCAAGCAAGATTTCCAGTGATGGATCTCTGATGAGATCCGCCATCCAACTTTCTGGCTCTCATGCACGGTCGTACTTTTTCTCAGCTCAACTGAGATCGACGAAGCCGCAAGCATTTGTTTTTAAGGGTAAATATGAACAAGCAGTTTCAGAATTAACAGAATTAACAGACATCAGATTAGCTGTATTCTTTGGCCCTCATGAAGGGTCCAGCTTTTGCATTGTCACTCACGCATTCTTTTGCAATAAACACACCACTTCTGTGGAGACCTGAAGTTTTCATTCTTTTGTCAATTCATTTACAGTGATATATCATTGTGCATGATTCTAAATTATGCAAGAGGCAGCAAACAAGTAAAGTAACGAGTAACCAATATCGTGATAAAAAAAAACCGCCCCAAGTTGCTAACTTCGCCGCTGCAATTACGCAAATCTTTGGCACTTTGTTATCAAATTATCCAATTTATATGTCACCATGTGTTTTTATTTTCACAAAATACTCGGATAATCAAAATTATGTATATATATATGGTCTCTACTTTTATTATCTACAAAAGTTTGACCGATCACTATCACTTCTTTTGATATATTTATTGTTAAAGCTTATATTTAACTATAAATATATAAACATTCATTGACAGATTGCAATACCATTTGTTAAAAAAGTTGACGTCAATCGTGCGTAAGTAAAACTTGAAATAATTTGATGCATACTCAAGTTACTGAGATGATTTGGATATCTCATGAAAAGAAATATGAAAAGAAATCTTTTTGTAGATAATATAATTCAATTTTTTTTTCACTCTCATAACATCCACAAACACTTTTTTCTCATCACCATATCATCGCAAATCTAATTAATATAAAATATATATTGTGATCTATAAAGAAAGTATCTTGCGCTAGCTGATATATTTTATGGTCTAATAATTCAACCTTAAACCTTGCAATATGCTTGCCACCGAATTCTACAAGAGGTGATTTGAGTTCTAAATCCAGCGCATGAATACTGGAGTGCAAGAACTCTGGAAGCACGAGCTTGTTGACCTGACAAACAGTAGGTAGTATAACCTTTTATTTAAATAATATGCTTAAACATCACAATCTTACACTGTCATAACATGTTATTATAAGTACAGTAATTGCAATTAGAAAAAAGGGAGATCAAAGGAGTTTCTAAAAGTTTTTATCTTTATGAAAGAGATCTCATTGTCATATGTTATAATAGTCGACTTCATCCGTTCAGTTACATGACGTGGATACGCTAGGTGATTTTGATCTGTTTTGGAGGTATCACTCAAGCCTTTTGGTTTACTGTATCAGACAAATTTTTAATATTCAATCATCGTGGGATTGTTTCGTGTCTCTTGGCGCGTTGGGCTCACCGTTGACTTGAAAAAACATTCATTTTACGACAAACTTGGTGCAGATTCCAAGCGTACGCGTGGTGGCAGTCGGAGAGCGATTTCTGTAGACTCAATGTCACTTCGAACAGAGGGCTACTCTGTTCAAAGTAACATCCACCATGATGAACTCGGTGGTAGCTACTGATGAGATTTGTTCTGAAACTCCTTCATGCTGTACTTGTCTCAAAATGAAGGAGTAAAAGCTCCTGATGTGCCACCTACGAGTATAAGGAGAAAATGTTCCTGGCAAATTTTGCTGCCTCCAAAAAAAGTTTTTTTTATGAGCTCGAAAGCATAGGTTTTGAACGAGAGTTCAGAACAATCTCAAAACAAGCAGGCACAAAATCTGAGAATAGCTTACATGGACGAGTCTGAGCATCACAGAAAATAGAAATGAGTATGAACCTTGGAAAAATAGATGCACGATTGAGATCAAGTTACCTCGGTGGTATGCAGCACAAACGACACTGTTAAGGTCGTGTGGCAAATTGAAGCTTTCTTCACATGACTCTCAACTCTAGTCCAAAACTGCTTCATCATCATGGCCCGTCGTCCACCTGGTTCAAGAAAAAATCGGGCGATGAACAACGTCCTATTTTTAGGAAGGCTAAGCGCATAACAAGCCTTTGAAATCCAGTTCAACTACAGCAAATTGATACATAATCCGACCAAGATTGCAAAGATGTACCTGCTTGCGCGATTGCAACGCGAGCGTGCGCAGTCAAAGCCTTCTCGTGGCCAATTGCTGAACACTTTTTGCTTGCTTCTTCAGACAGATGCGCCCCCACTTCTCGGAGCTGCAGTGCTGCTTTTGAACATTAATATGTGCGCATCTCTATCTAATTGCCCTGGTATGACAGCGAGCAATAGCAAGTCTTCACGATGGATGATGTCACCGATGTCCTCCATGCTTCTTACACAGTAGTGCTTCTTTTATATTTATATTGGCAGGCATCCATCAATATCAATGTGCAAAGGCATCTATCGAGCAGCTAACACTGCACAATGTTAGGGAGTAGTATATAGAAGGATACAGCCGCCCTTTCTACAATCATGTAAAGTTGATTTAACATCGATCAGGCATTCTAACACTCTATCCTGAACTGGAAGTCAATCTTAGCTAATGCATGGCAATCTATCTACAGGGAACGAAAACTTTCCCAAGTAATCAATGCTAATGTAAAGTGTAGTCAGTCCAGAAAAAGACATACCTGATCTGACGACGGTTTTTCGTAAAAGTCCGAGTAAAACAAATTGGCCGCTTATGATGCATTGGATAAAAATGCTCTTGAGAGAATGCTCAACTTGCAGGTTCCTATAGGACGAATGAGTAACTTTCACTAAATGCTCAGTAACAGGTTGACGAAGGCTGGGTGACGAGGGTTTTAGAGCCGCCACTAACGTACAAGGGAAGAACTACACTGTTGAAGAAGCGTTGACCATGATCTAATGCCAGGAGGAAGAACTGAAGCAATGCACAGTCCAGGAGCAACCTCTGTGAAGTTTGGTGGGCTTATCACATCTTCGGTACTTTGAATGTCTTGTGGCACTCAGTAATTGAGCATGTAATGGTATTAAGTACATTTATGTTCGATTGTTTAGTCACCCATGTGGATAATTTTTGTATGATCACGTTTTCTATCAAGGACTTCAGAGTCTAAAGTCTTGGCAAGTCAGTTGAATAGCTCATATACATGCATGGAGGATGACGGCAGCTCCGACTTTTCGGTGAAAACCACATTGAGACTGCGAGTTTAAGAATGTGCATATGCTTCTGACTTGGAAACTCAGGTCTCATGAATTTCATTGAATGTCCGCAGGCCCATTGTCAATTTTGCAGCAATTCTGCGGCTACATGACATATATTCTCCTTACAAGGGGAAGGTCAGGGACGAGGCAATGCGGGTGTAGAGCAAGCTCAGCTCTTCTGGGCGGTTTCCATGTGCTGCGCGCTTCTCTGCATCCAGTATCTACCCCATAGCATAAGTGCAGAACCAATTTTCGCATCGAGACTGGGTTCTTTGCAAAGCCGTGAAGGTGCTGCGTTGTTGTTACACGTTGTGGGGACCAACAACATGGCTGCAAACGTGAATGTCGCCGCCGGTGAGACTCCGGCGGAATGGAGATCGTACACAGCGTGCACGAGTGGACCGGATTGATGAACAATCCAGCCCGTCCCGACAACGAGAACATGGGCAATTTCATCTCCACTGCTCGGGACCCATCTTCTACACTCATCACTCCAACGTCGACCGCTTGTGGGACGTGTGGAAAACCATCCCCGACAAGGTCACAATTGCAGGAAATCGGCAGAGTCGAGTACACTTCCAGCGATTTCTTCGACTCGGAAGTTCACTTCTTCGACGAGAACCAGGATACGGTCATCGTCACGATCCGAGACAGCCTTGAACTTTCAAGGCAGACGTTAGCGAATCTGATAATATGTGGACCAATTACGAACCCCTGCCTCCGCACAAACCATCGGAAGCCGTGGAATCCCCTGCCACTGACCTGCAGTGGTTCCCTCCGGCAACAACGCCAACGGTAAGGTTACTTCAAGCTTTAAGCTGGACAGGACACGAAGCTTACGAACGAGCTGCAGGAAGACATCCTGTTGGAAGGTGAGGATTTCACCTTATAGTATGCCCATTTAGATCCCCCAAATCACATGTTTTTCAAGAAATCAAAAAGAGGTTTCGAATATTTTATTTTAAAATGATTACTTCAATATTACTTACTTTACTGTTGATATTATTTGAAAAATAATATTTTAAAAAACTTTATGCTTTTATTTTTTTGCATTTTAAAAAATATTAATTATTCAAATTTTTAATTATATTATTATTAAGAATCCTTCATATTTTATTAATTCATATTTAAATGCATATATTATTGGATTTTTTGTTTAAAAATTAATGTTATTTTTTCTATATTTCTTTAATAATTATTTCTATTCATACAAAATATTTTTTATCGATGAAACGTAAAAGAATGAAAATTATTTTAATTATCGATAAATAAAATCTTAAAAGTTATAAACATTTCAACAATGCATGTAAAGTATTTGAGACAACATTAGTGAAAGACCTATCTCATTTGAAACATAATATCTACATCAAATATGCTTTAATAATATAGATGCCAACATTTTACTTCAAATTTGTACCATAACCATCAGCAGCAACCTATTGCCACTTATAGCATTACTTGTGACCATACCATGCTATTCAAATTAAGCCCCTATATTCAAAAATTGTGTAATGTGTATTAACCGTTTACACCAAGTCTTTGTTGGATTTGACAAACACAAGGTCGTTCATTGTTGCTAGGTTGGTTAGCATCCAAGAAATTTGACTCCGATTTGGAGTTGAATGCGAGGATTCACAAAATCGAACACGCCACTTGTGACATGATGAGGAATGTGAAAGCTACTTTCTGCCTGCACCACAAAAGAATACTGAATTTAGTAAGCTATCACTAAGTCACGTGTCTAATCTCAAACAGTATTGATGGGCATGGGCTCAATACCCATTTAGAAACTGCGCCCATCCAAACCCAACTGGAAACAATAACCATTCATGTCTAATCATGAAAACAAATGTTATCCAAAACTCATGTACATGGGTATGGGCACCCAATGGATATGTAAAATGGTCTAACGCATAACCACAAGAATATACTAACATTCCAAATTTTATTTTATTTTACTATTCATACATAAAATGAAAATGTATCAGATTGGATTTTTTCACATAAAAGACACTCATCTGATCTATGATGTATCAATAATATGACAACAATTATTGTAAATCATACATGGCTTATGAAAAAATTATATATATATATATATATATATATATATATTGATACAAAAATGAACAAATGACTTGCAAATGATACAAAAGAAGAAAATTTACTGTAAAATATAAAACACATAATAGTATCGAGATTTTTAAAACACATATAATCAATAAGAAGTAAAAAAGTTCATTATAGAAAACTAACAACTTGTTTTTTTAATGAGTTTATTAAGAATGTCCAATAAAGGAGTTTTTTTGATTAAACGTTTTCATGTTTGACATGTCAATAATAAGTGTACTCAAAATCTAGAATAGAAAGGTTTCAATACACATAAATCGTATATATTTGATAAAGATGTTTTACCTTCCATTATAAACATTGAGTTGTATAGATTTAAAATTTGAAAATTGTTTTCACTCCCCAATATGTTTGGCTATATTTGCATATTTTCACATGTTTATTCCTGATTGTTAAATAAACAATAAATGGAATAAAATCTTTTGATGAATTTTTTTTTTAATTCAGGTACTCAAACTTTGAACCACTAATTTCGATCATTTCAAATTTTAATTCCAGCATCATGGCACTGATTTCTTCAATACCGTATAATTTATAAAAGAGCTAGGTGTATATGCATGGTTTCAGAAATAGAGATATTCATTGTCACGTAATATCAATTGTATCGTAATTAGTTACTTTATGATACCAAATTTATCTTTTTTTCCAAGATTCCCTGCTAAAATAGAATTTGATATCCAGATATTTGTTAACAAGGCCAAAAAAATTTAATTTTGAATTTTCTATGCCAACCACAAAGTTTCAACAGTATGTTGTTGTCGTATTGTATAACAGCATCATTATCATTTTAATTAGTATGATTCAAGTGCAATCATCACAATCTCATGATAGATTTAAACTTTATTGAAGCAAAAATAGAAAATTTGGTATTTTAGCGACTTGAGAAATCCTCAAATGTGGAGATAAATGATGATACTTTCATACATATACACTGGTAGTGGATCTATTATCTAAGTGACAATAATGTCACAATTAAGAGTCTCATAAATGTGACTAGTCATGTATGTCTTTACTATATTATCTAATCATGAGTGGAAGTTATGTAAGCCAACTTCAACCTGTTTGAGTTTGTAGCATTTATTACTGAAGAAGTTTTAATTGTTTGCTATACTAGACAGTACACACTGAATAACATAATTCGAGTAATTCATTTTCATTTCCATAAAAGTAGTTAATACGATTCAAACTCACAAAATTATCTCAAATATTATTTCCTCATGTTACTGTTCTTTGACCCTTTCAAGCAAATAGTTTAGATCCCTTATGTAAATCATATGTAAATCCCAGCTATATGTTCGGGTTTCATCCATACAGTACTTGATAGGGCACACCCTTTTACTTTTAATCTACTTTTTCCATTCTCGGTTTTTATTATCAGAAAACGGAAGGATCCAAGAAGGATGATGAGAATGTGAGAGAGATCTTCAATATTAGTACTCCATTACCTAGGTCAGTTCCTTTTGAAGGATCCGCTTACTTTGCGGCTTGTCGTGAAGAAGCTGCTACGCACTACGAATGGAAACCCTGCGACTTTGGCCGTGCCCGACAAAACAAAATGATTCGCTCGTGAACCCACACCCTCCTACAGATCCAATATCCGAATGAAGGTTGTTTCAAATGGTAGCGCACACGAGGACTGATGTTGAACGATCGATGGAATGCAAGACGCCCGAAGTGAGGCGAAGAGTGTCATGTGCAATTGGAAGAGGGACATTTCCGTTTGATATGGCTTAAACGAACGTCGCAGTGTACGGTTGATTAGAACGGGGCAATGTAAGTTGCTGGTCGATCGCCTATGCTTCCAGTGATCGCATTTCCCGCTGGAAGGAAGCAGGGTCTTATATAGTGCCGAAGGAAAGTGCTGTGTGTTTTGTGATCCAAAATGTCACTGTCATCGAGCTCTTCCGTCTCTCGCCTGCAAGCGTCTCAGAGTAGTGCTTACTCGCTTGATTCTGAAAACAATCGGAGAAGTCTCGGGTGTTCTGTGAGCGTACGGGACGATGTCGACTTTGACGATGACGATAGGTGGGGAAAGAAGAGAAAGAAAAAGAAACGAGGGATGGTTTTAGCAGGCGTGTTGGACAGCCCAGCAATGAGGAGGATGCGGAAGTTGAGATTGCACATTGTTGCTTTGGGTATTTTGCTGGTGATCGTGGTTTTCGAGGTGCGCCATCTTTCTCAAGATCGTCCAACTTCTACAAGTATTTTCTTCCATCTCTTGTAATGTCGATCTCAACTATGACTAAGAATTTTTTAGGTGTGAAGACTCGAATTCTATATCTAGTACAGACTCAGGGATTTCCCAGTAAATAGCTGTCAGCTTCTAAACCTTGGAGGCTATTGACTTTACTGCTTCAATAGAATGTTCGTTTTTCTCTGGTTGGTGTCTTTGAAATGTGTTTTGTCAAGGACGGCAGAGTGGACTGGTTGAGCTACACATATGACATGCTGAACGAATTCCTCAACCGAATGCTGGAACAGATACATGGAATGCATGGATTTTTTATGTTTGTTGTACTTTGTCGAAGTCCAGTCTACAGACTGTAGAAAGAAGTTCATGGCAAAGTTTTGTCAACATGCTCTTCGCATTTGCCTTCCCTTACATTGAGAGGTTAGTGTTGTGTTTTTGACTCAGAATGTTCTGTCTGCTCTGGTTTATTAGTACGTGACACTGATGCGAAAGGGAAAGAAGAAGCAGATTCGTTGAACGAGGCAAGCTCAACTGTAATCCGAGACGTCGAGAGGCCAAAGAATCTGGATAACATGGACATGCCTATGAGGAAAGTTGGTGGCAAAGAGGAAGGTAATTTTCCAGAAATTTATCTGTTGCTTGCTTGTCTAGTCAATCCAGATCATTCTTCCAAGACTTAGAATCATATTTAGCAATAGGAGTAGTAGCCTGGTGTAGATTTCGTTGCGATGAACTCTAACGAGACGATCTGGGCTTTTCTCGAATTCCCCCTTTTTTTGTTGTTCATGTTTTAGTTTTATCACGATGCGCACGTAACAGCTGTTAGTGGGTTCCAACTTCTCAGCATGTCTAAAACTCCTCCCACCAGAAGATCTTGATAAGATCGAATTACCTGAGGCAAGCTTCAGTGGAGTCAGGATCCTAAGTTATGTCCATAATAATATTGATTCTAAAGAAAGTAAGGTACAAGATAGCTCCATGGCCAGTGCATTTGGAGGATATCAAACGATGGATGAGAGAGCTAAGACCTTTGAGGTATTTACTAGTGCTTGTCACCCTAGTCCCTTGTGTGTGCAGCTCATTCATTTTGCTTCCAGGTTTGACTGTATGAGCCGCCAGACAAGAGAAGTATTAAGGCTTAGAAAGTGACTTCCAAAGCAATCGTGGCTGAGGCCGAGATTCGCATGCTTGTTTGATCTTTGTGCTGAATATATATATGACGATTTATGATCCACATTTGCCTGTTTTCGTTGTGAAGTTGAGAGATACGATGGTGGTGCACTGTGGATTCTGTGAAGAAGGCAGTGGGTTCGACATTGACTCAACCGACAAGTCGTTCATGGAGAGCTGTATCATTGTTGTTGTGACCTGCACTTTCGGTGGCGGAGACGATCTCTATCAACCTATTGGCATGACGCGTTTATCAATCTCACGGGTACGAAGAAATATGCTGCTGAAGTATTGTGTCAGCTTGTAGACAGGTGTTGTGAGCAGAGCGACCGCATCACCATTCATTGTTATGAGCAGGTCATTTAGGTTCCCCTCTAAAGTTCTCATTGATTTAAGTTTTTTATGCTGGTTCTCTCTTTCTGTGATCATCGTGTCTCAACAATGATGTCATCTGTATGGGTTTCGTCCAAAATTCGCTGAGCAGCTTCATTCCGTGATTCTTTGATCTCAGATGAAAGAATTTGAACTTGGACTTGCTTTTGGATGCATTTTTATTTAGTGCATATATAGTAGCAAGTGTTCTTCCTGTATCATCTTTTCTTTTTCTCCTGCAGTAGTGTTATCATCCCTGGGTCGAGCTAAAACCTTATCGCAAGGATGCTCTTCTGTTCTAGAAATTTGCACAATTGATTAAAGCATTTGCAACATGCATGTTTGCTTACAATATACCTACTCGTCCTCACGTCAGTATCTCGGAGCCCACTATTATCACCTTAAGCCAACTCTGCCTTTAAACTTTCACCTCTGGTTCCTTTGCTTTTCACTGTCTATTTGTCTTTCTTGTTTGCCTTCTCTTTAATCTTCTGAAACATGTTTCTGCTGTCAGAAGATAGATTCTACTTTCGATCTACATTTATTGTTGCCAAAATATTCTTTTGATAGTTTAAGGTTTGTTACACTTCTCAGAATAAAAAGAAACTCGTTCTCGTTATTCTTCTGACGTGAATATCCTTGAGATCCTTCGGTCTTGATGAGGTGGGTTGTAAATCTCTGTTGTCACCGCTGTACATTCTCAAACCTTCATTCGCATCGTTTTCGTATGGAGAGGGGTTATCACTTTGGGGTTTGAGCTGATCAAACTTTCGATTCAGGTCACATCATTAACTTGTTGGCTGTTTTGCTCTTGATCCTCATCTGGAATGTTTCTTTCACATCTTCAGCTCGTTATGTTCCGCTTATGAGTTTCGTGTTGCTGATTGGGTCTGTGGCTTATCGCACGCAATGTGTTTTTTCGGGGATTTGTCCAGCCCAGTTAGAGTAAGTAATGTGCGCCTCAAAAATCCTGATGGATCGTACTGTTTGGGCTAAGGGACCAGGTTTGCTACGTTGCGTTCTGGGATGAGGTAACTTTGGAGGCTCAGGCGAAAGAAGGAAAGGCACCAGATCCTATGAGTCGGAAAGTTGGCCTTTGGCGTATTGTGATCGTGCGAAATCTGCCTTTTTCCGATCAGCGACGAAATGGAAAGATACCCAAGGTAGTCACCAAGTAGTTCATGAGATATTTGACCAGAATGACATTACCTACACAGAACTTTGTTTTAAGATTCTTCGGGATTCTTTTCGGTGGATTTAGCTTTCGGTGGTTGTGATGAAGAAACTACAGGTTTCGCTTGGCGGGCAGGTCATGCTAGATCTTAAAAAGACGCATACCCAATCTGAAATGGTTCATCTCGGCTAGACTATGTAACCCCTAACTTACTGGAGATTTATGACTTGGACCAAACAGCTGCTGAATCACCGCCTCTTTCCACGAGCGAGGTACTCGATATGGGTGGATTCCAAGTCTCAGTTTCGGAGGGACCCTATTGGTGTACTAGAAGCTCTTCTATGGAAACCGAAGGTACCTTTTGCAATTTCAGAACATGGGGGTCGCAGTTGTGTTTATAAAGAAGGTGACGCTATTGTACAGAAGCACAAAGCTCTTCCTGGAGAGGTTTCCATCCAGCTCAATATGTACCGGTCTGAGGGTATTCCAGAGCGAGCCTTATTTCACGGTCACAAAGGTAATTGTTGTCTGTTCATGACTCGAACTTGTTTACTGTTTTCAGAGAAACTTAGATCTCAAGGTTTATGCTCTTTACAGAAAACTCGCCTTCAGCCAGTGAGGAAAGTTTGTAGATACTGCAATAGATGACGTTCTTGGAAAAGCTTGTAATCTCTGTCCACCTATTGGAGCTATTTTTTTTCTTGAAACCTAACTGGTCTTCTTGTTCTGTGCAGCATTAGCAGAGGCATCTGTCATTGTCAGGGAGCATACACCTCTTACGAATTTGTTCATGTGCCTCTGGTTCAATGAAGTGATGAGATTCACGGCCCGTGATCAGTTGAGCTTTCCATATGTGTTACTGCGAGTGCACGCTATGCAAGTGAATATGTTTCCAGTTTGTACGAGGCGAGCCCTTGTGAACAGTATCGGCCATAAGTCGAAGGCTAAGCCTTTGAATATCAAGTGATCGTAGTTTAGGTGATGGGGAGCAAAAGATAAATATTTACAGCTAGTAGAGTCAAAATGCTGGAAATGGACAGCAACTTGAAGTGTTTTCATGGAGGTTTTAGTCTTTCAGTTTATTTTTGTTTGTACGTTGGAATTTATCACATGGCATTTCGTGCAAGGTCATTAACTGCAGTGAAGCATATTTGTGATCATCTGCGCCATTGCAATTTTCTCCGCAGCAGCTAGAAATACACTTTTTTTCTTCATATGTTATGGAATGAATCATATCCTTAATGGATCCTGGTTATACTGTTCATACTCGAGCCAAGGTGACTACTCAGTTTGTTTAGTTAGTAGAGTTCCTTCATGAGGCGCGCTTCCAGCACACCTCTGAGAGTTACTTAATCTTATATCGCTTTACTTCTATCTGGATATTTATCCAGACACAAGGGAGTCCTGCACCATGGGCACGATGGTGAAGTTGATGGTAACGAGTTCAAATTACTAGGGGTGAAACAGAGATCTGGGAAATTTTACCTGTCAAGAAAAATGAACGGAGTTGTGATTCAAAAGATTCTGTCATCTTTCGGTAGCAATTAGTTCTGTATCAAGAGGTGGGATGATTCATTGCATTGAAAGGATATTGATCAGTCTACAATGCTTATGTTCAAAAAAAGACACAAGAAATCTTTCCTCCTGAAGTCATTGCAAAGAGATGATGAGATATTGGGATTCATCTCTTCAAATGTATGCACAATGAAAACTCTTTAGATGGATCGCCGGATTACACTACTTTCCAGAAGGTAGTATGTATGGAAAGACGATGACGTACGGACTGAAAACGAAAGGAGAGTCTGCTTGGAAGGTCAAAGCCTTCATCACAACAGTAGACATTTAGAAATGAAGGTAGTGAAGAAGACTGTAATATGACATCACTAATAGGCAACGGTAGATAGTTTTCCTTTTCTGAGCTGCAATGGGATGGTGTTGAATGTAAGGATTGGGAACAATATCTGGGAACAATGTCTTACATACTGGAGAGGATCATTGGTTGAAGATGCTTTTCAAGAGAAATCATTGAGTTTTCTACATTATGATCAACTTGAGTTGCAGTTTTGGTGCAACTATATTAGCTACAAACCACCGATAATCAAAGTTGTCAAAGACATTGGGAAGTATGGGATCATAAGAACCGTGATCACCTGATCCGATCATGTGGATGGCTTTTGGTTGTATTCGTAACTATGCTCATATCTCAAAAGAGCAACCTTGAATTTAAGTATACTAGGCTCATCTTCTTCGAATTTGAAAAAGTAAAGATAGGCTGCATAATTTACTACTAGTGAATCATTGTACACTAAGTTTTTTACATGTTTCATTGATATGAGAATTTTCGGAAAACATTTCTTAGCAAACCATTAACCTGCATTTTTTCCAATTATAGTTCATGGTTACAATATGTTTGAAATATTATCATCAGATCCAATTGTATTCATGATCTTGAAGCAAATGAGAAATTATGAGATGAATTCGATTAAATTTGAAGAAGTAGAATACATTTTGATCATTTGGGTGTTGTTTTTTTTCAAAAATCAAATGTCAAACAATTTTTTTTTAAAGTCATCATTCATTTACAAAATAGATAGCTTATAATCTTCTAGGTTCAATAATTATTGCATAATTGAAGATTTTAGTCTGCAATAAAATAAATCATTGGCTTCGAATTTTTTTCCTACATAAACAAATATTGAGCCAAAATATGTTAAAAATTAGAATTAATATAACTTCTATATTTATTATGTTTTGATATCTCTGCATTCAAAAAATAAAAGTAATATATTTTAAAGTGAATTTTTTTTGTGTGGCGGTGCATGAACTCAACATAATACAGTACTATATTTTTATGACTTATCTATATATTTTTAATAAAAATATATCATAAATTTAATTAACTTTTTCATAAATCGTAGAATTTTGATAGATTTATCCAATGATTTATTACAGATGTACAAAAGGCTCATTAAATGGTTCTTACTGGAGTAAGAAAATAATTTTTTTATTATATGATATTCAAATAAACAGCATGCTTAAAAATTGATCAGTTGAATATTGTTGTAAGATATGAGTAAAATTGATATTTGTTGTTGTTTCACATCCATATGTACACAAGTCATATTTCACGTAATTGTGTCTTGGCTTTTTAAAATCCATCTCTCTCATGGTAAATTAATGTGTGGATTGCTTGTGATGATTTATTTGTATTTCAACTATTAATAACAACTGTAAATATGAACACAATAGTTTAGTTTCAATATAAAAATATCCTGCATTGTGAAATGACATTTTTTCGCATTATATAGAACCTCTTGAATATCTCAATCATATCATTACAGTTTTGTACATTAATTATCATTATAAATTTGATAATAGAAATCCATATCATTGTTCATGTTATTTATAGTCTATGTATTTGATTTTTGTAGCTCTTGATATGGTAACTTCATGATAAAACCAAAATACAATCAACCACCTAACTTTTATTAACTCGCGATCACAAGAAACTAGTTTTTTAAACTTCATGGAAATGAATCCAAATTTCCATATACGTTTTTCGACTTTACTCTGAAAGGAAGTGGATACAATTACGATAGCAAAAATCATGAGAAGATCATGTAAGTCCTTATAGGGATAAAACTAACGAGTATTTCGGAGCTAGGTTCCAACATTATCGCGCGAACAAATACTGCATTTAATATATAAACCTAATTATGAAACTACATAAGGTGTTGCAACCTGTTCTTATTGGAAGATCAAACGGCCTACAAATGACAAGATAATTTAGAAAAGCATAGTGTGAAGTCAGAGCTCTACTATGGCTAGCATTATTAATATGCATAGCAATAGAAAAGGTGTCTAAAGTAGACTAGAAAATATCCTACTGAGAATGATACCCACCATTGACTAGTAGTAAGGTAGGCTATCTCACGCAATCTCAAGCAATATAATGAACATCTTGTAGTCTGAGTCAAACAGCATGTAACAATTCCAAGGTCACAGTGACACATTAGAAGATTTGTATATAAGCAATGCGGTACTGTACACGAGACGAGACTCGGTACAAGATCAACAACCGCTGCAAGTGGGATGAAGTCTCCTTCCCGGGATAGAGAAGTAACTCAAGGAATAATATTCACCTGGTGACGACTGACCACAGCAACCCAGCTGGCGGGTAGTGGAAGTGGTAGCTCAGGGACGCAAAGATTAACCAGCGGTCCAACCATGAGTTAGAGCACAACGTCTAGTTTGTAGAAAGGGGTACAAGAACCCTGGACCAAACCTGCATCTTGAAAGGGACAGATTGTGGAGACGTTGATGGAATTCCCGGCTCGAGTGCTTTCAGGGTAAAGGCGCTGACGGAGACCGATGCCCACTTCGGGCCTCGGGCCGGACCCTGCTTGGTATTCTTAGTTCCGAACTCGGGCGCGGAGGGTCTCGAAGATGGTTCGCGAGGCAGATCAGTGTTCGGATCGTGCGAAATCGAACGGATGACTGCGGGATGAACAGAATGCCAGTCTAGGTCCTGCGATTGAGCATTCTTAGTAATCGAACACCGAAAGCTTCGTCAAGATCGCGTTTTTAGTATTTTGTGAGGCCAGGACAACCGTCGTGGAGTTTGCCACTGGACGGATTGCGGAAGGATTCATTCAACTGTTTCTCGCGTAGAGCTCGAGGATTGTCAGTTCAGGAAGGAGAATTTGGTTGGGATCATGAGGGGAGATTACGATGAGGAGGGCGAACCCGTGTACGATCCTGATGCCCCGATGTCTCGAGAGGGAAGCCCGGAAGAGGATTGGCAGGACTCACCGTCTGCTTCACCAGCTCGCGAGGCATCTCCTAAGGCGAAGCCAAGAAAACGTTTGGTGAAGAAAGTTAGTGTCGATGAGGATCCTGAAGACGACGATCGACCTCGAAAGAGAAAGAGCAGAGATTCAGAGGATGGAGATGGCCGTCAAAGGGTTAGAAAGAGCAAAGAAGGTAGAGATGGCAAGGGAGATGCCAAGAGGGGCAAATCTGGATCCATAGCAGCCAAGCTTAGCAAGCTAGCCAAAGGAGGCGGAGGAGGCAAAAGTGGAGACAGCAGAGTCGGAAGATCGGGAGGTGATCGTCCTCAAAGAAACAGAGACAGAAGAGAGGAGAAGGAGACCTGGGCCCGGAATGGTAGTCCAGAAGTGGATTCTGAGGTTCGTATTTTTTCAGGGGCTCAGGAACTATCACTTGACAGCATATGTCAGTCAAGTCTCGGTTCGAAATTTTTCCCTTCTTGACTTCTCTGCCTGTTTCCATTTTTTGTGTAATTGGCGGGTTGATGGCTAACGGGTTACAAAGATACCTGTAATTCATGCGGTCTAGGGCACTGAGAACTCCAAAGAGGACGTGGTGTACACAAATTGCTTGTGGCTTTTCTTGTTTCATTGCGATGTACATCTTGAATGTCTCAAGTAAGTATCATCTAGAGCGTTCGAGGGGTTATAAAGTAGCTGTAAGAGAAGGCAATCTTGTAGAAAGAGGGTCAGTATATAACAGCCAATTAGGGTAATTGACATCATGCAATAGGCCTGGCTCACGCTTGTAAGCCAGGTAGTTTTTTTTGGTTGCATTAGAAACATCATTATCTGCCCAAAACGATGTGGTCCTCCTTTTCAAACTTTCTTTCTTCATGAACAACTCTAGGCTTGGAAATACGAAATTCCTCCCCCTCCGACATATTTATGTGAAGCAAAGACCACGTGTGTTTGTTTTGGCTATTTTTTGTGAGGATAATCTGAGCGTGAATTTCAAATCCCTTACTAACATCTTTGTAGATCACACACCTGTCGGTAGTAGCATTGTGCTGCCTAGAATGTAAGTTTTTGATTTCTATACCCTTGATTATTCTGAACACGAAACTATCTCGTGAGCAGGAAGATAAGGAGTTGGAGCCGACACCTGCGGATGATAACTTTATCGACGACACAGGAGTTGAGCATGAAGGCTACAGTGATGATGGTGGCGCTTCACCGAGTCATGCTCCCGAGGTTTGTCTAGTCCCGGACTCTTTTCTAGAGACTAAGTTTGAAACTGGAACAGAACGATTTAGATGGTTAATGTCCACTGGGTGCGCACTCCTGGGCATGATGTACGTAACGGACAGTAACTTAAGCACCTCGGTGCACCTATGACTTATCATCATTCTATTATTTCAAATCCTCTCATCTTTCTTTTGTGTGTGTATGTCTCCGCTCGCGAAAGCTAAACTTCATTCTCGTATCCTACTGTTATCCACTGATATTATTGTTTAGGACTGAAGACTCTTTGTCGGTGGCTGCTTAGGTTTTCCTAATTTTTGTTGTTGAAGTCTGTTATTGACGCAAACTGTCCCTAGTTAGTCTTTTGCCTTCTCCATGATCTTATCATTTATCTACAGCAGTTTGTTTTCCATCTTGCGGTGAACATTTGTTGCATGTGCTGTTACTCATTGTCAAGGCCAGTCCCAGGTAGTTGTTATGGTATTGAGTAAACTCCTTGGTTTTCGTTTTTCTTGTATTCTTCTTTCCCGAAGGCAGAAGAAGCTGAGGAGGACGAGAAAGATGAGCTCAACAAGTTTTTCAAATCTGGAAAGAAGAAGAAGAACAAGAACGAGCGATCATCAGAGGAGATTGCTATGTTTGTGGAGCAGTTTATGGCAAAACTTGATGTTGCAGCCGAAGCAGATGCAGATCTGAATCGCGCTTCGAAGCCAGCTATTGAAAAACTAAAGATGCTGCCTGAATTACTGACCGTGCTTGAAAAGTATTTACACTTCTATCCACTTTGAATACATATTTAAGAGTTCTGCAACTACACAGTTCGAAAGCAATTATCAAATATTTTATAGACTACTCGAAATACTAGTTCATATTTGACACGGGGACACCTTTGTAATCTCAGGCGGCAGTTGCAACAAGAATTCCTGGATCGTGGGGTTTTATCTTCGTTGAAGAACTGGCTTGAGCCGCTTCCAGACGGGTCATTACCGAACATGAATATACGTTCTGCTTTACTGAAGCTTCTAACTGATGTAAATATACTGCTCTTCACTACCATATTTGAAAGTTCAAAACAGGATAATGGTAGTGTGTTTTTCTTCTGTTTCCGACAGGTTTCTGTTGATTTCAATATGCTATTTTTTGAACCAACGCCGCCTTCTTGCAGTTGCCAATTGATGTTGAGGTGGTCGAACGAAGAGAGCAGTTAAAAAAAAGTGGACTGGGAAAGGTGAGACTAACGTTTTAATTCTGAGCCTTGTGGACAATGATTGTGAGGTTAATTTAGGACTTATGTTTTTTCTCATGAACATATTTTATTTCCCAGTTCTGGGTACTTCGGCATGTACAATTATTTAATGAAGTTTTTTGTGTAGGTTGTAATGTTTTTATCACGGCTTTCTGAGGAAACTCCGGGAAATAAGAAGTTGGCACGAGATTTGGTGGACAAATGGGTGAGTGTCTTTACAACCGCTGGGTCGTTTGTTATAATGTAATATAACTGGCTTGCGAAAAGGTGCGAAAAAGGAGATTGTGTCGGCTTCATATCGGCCGTCAATATTTGTTGTGTCACACGTGCCGTGTACTATCAATGTTCTCTTCTAGTATTCAAGCTTTTCGTGTTTTTATTCTCTTTCCCCAGAGCCGGCCGATTTTCCAGAAAAGCACCAGATATGAAGACTTGAAGCAATATGATGACGAGAAACCACCTCCTCGGAGACCACAGCAGCCAGCCAAGAAGTGGGTGTCCTCTTGCCTTCTCAAAATTCTGACTGTTTAGAGAGTTTGATTACTGCATGTTTCGTCCTTTCACAGGCAGCATCTTGCCTGTATGCGAATCAATTTCTAACAAAATGATTGACCCGCTCTTGGTTGTTCTGGATCGAGTCAGCGACGCCGTTGCTTGCGTTACGTATCACTTTGTATTTCTTAGTTAATGTCGTGAATCCTTAGTGTCCATCCGTTCCGTACGCTTGCTCATAGTATTTTCAAATCCACATGTTCAAACGCCGCATCACGGCTTTCGGGTGTCAATGACGAGGAAATTCGATGAGGAATTTGCACTAGAGTTTCAACACACAGATCTTTTCGTCAGATTTATACTAATAGCATGTCAGTTGATGAGGTCTTTTCTAGTTCTGCTCTTAGCCTCTATGTGGCATGCCCTAGGTCGTTACGATTTCTCTATAATAGTCATAATTTACAATTTACTGCTTTCTTGTTCTCTATCAGATAACACTGTTTTCACCCTCGGATTCAGCAATTAAACACAGGGAAATCTGCATGTCTTCAAGTGTTTTCTCTGGCTACTCTGCCTGCTACTTGTAATATGCCTACGTTAGGTGTTGTTCTTAAGGAAGCAGTTTTGGGCCGGTATGTCGAAAAAGTTTGAACTTAGCTCATGACTAACGGTTTTCTTTCATCTGTGGACTGGTGAGAAGACCTGTTGCCAAGCCTATGGACGATTCAAGAGGAGGAGATGAGTTGGACATGGAGAATGACTCTGGGTACGTCTCGGTCCTTGCTTGAGCACTATATTCCGTATATCATCTCCTTTGATTTCTGAGCGACATTTGATTTAATTTAAACTTGATCTACTTGTTTACACATATGCGAGTATCGCATATGTGTAAACAAGTAAACAACATATGAATCGCAACCTCACAGCCTGTAGGAAAAGAGTCGGATTCGAATATTCAGTAGCGACTTGCGAACACTCAATATACACAGGAATGGTTGGAATCGAAGGCATGCGAATCGTAACCGTCGATTGGCGTTCAAGTCTCTTCGACTCGCCAATGACGGTTATATGCGTTGTCTTCGAGCAACGCGATCTTCTGAAGCAAGAGGTGGCAGTGCCAGTCGCTACAGAGGATTCTGGGGCTTTTGTGAACCAGTTTCTTAACGCGCAGTTGATTTTTTAAAACTATTCTGACATGCCAAACTTATATCGCGTGAGAATCCTTTTAAGAACCGGGTTGTTAACCCGCAGTTGATCTCCGTTTTCATTCTGTGTTTTCCTCATGACTAAACCGACTGTATAGATTATACAGCGTTTACAGGTTTTTGGCCGCGGTTGATTATTGTTAATTACCTTGTCTTCATAAAGCTATACTGCGTTAGGGTTCAGGGTAACCTTTTACCGCGTTAGCTGCTCTTCTATGAAAGGGGCAGCTAACCCGCAGGTGGTCTCCATTTTAATTATGGTGACTTGACAAAGTTATTCTGAGTTAGCTTCCCCTTTTGAACCGGGTAGCTAAACCGCAGTCGATTTCCGATTTAATCCTGTGTGTTTTCATCGAATTATACCAATTATACTGCGCTTACAGGTCCCCGTTTAAGCCGAGCTAGTTAAGCCGCAGTGCCCCCGGATTACACCGATTCCATGCGTTTCTATGGAATTAAATAGTCAAACTAAAACCCAGAATTGAAGGTATCGCAGGATTTGAGGTTTCTTTTTTTTCTTTTTTAGTAGTAGCCTTTTAGCAAGCTGATTCTCTGGAGCCAGAGGTAGGAGTGCGAATCGTACCCCAATGTGAGTGAAGTGATTTGTCACGGACTATCTCATCTGACTAGGTATTGAACAAGAGTTTTTGTAGGGCTCTTATGCTGGAAATGAGCATTTTGAAGAGTTTAATTGTTCCATATAGGTTAGGAATAACGGAAAGGGATAGTGTAGGCTCCCGCAGCCTGAAATTGAAAGCTACACGTGTGAGCAGGACAATGGGTGAACATTTGTCTTTGCCGTAATTACAGGGAATTGAAGCCGGGAGATCCAGGTTATCGTTACCATGCATCCAGGCCACAAGCTATGCCCCTGGACTTCGTTGTGAGGCCTGCATCGAGGGTGGACGCCGAAGATGTTCGAGCTCGTGCAAAGCAGTTGCGTATGGACGAGAGAAGAGCCAAAGTAAGCAAAGTTGTGCAGGATGATTTTGTTATTCCATCCAGGAACTGGAGTAGCCTCAATGGCAGTTAGTGATCTGTCTCTTTAAGTGGCAGGAGATTTGACACTTGGCTTTTTGAGATGGAAAGAAATGGAAGAAACGTTTATTAGAAGATTCATGATCGTAATTTTCTACAAGCAGACAAGAGATCAAGAACTGTGCTGTTGTTTCCACGGATGTTTTGATACGGCCTAGGGCCATTGTTCACGAGTGGGCACAGATCAGTGAATGTCACCGGTTGACTTCCCAATCTAGCTCACATGATATTGCATTTTTACTTCTAGTGACATGTGTATTGTGAACCTTGCAGATGAACAAAAAGCTCCAGCTTCTGAGAACCCCCAAGAGGAAGAATTTGCAAGCAGCTCGCCTTAGCGTCGAGGGAAGGGGAGTTGTCAGTTATCATTGACGATGCAGATTCTCGCAGATTTTCATTGCACTTTACGTGCAGATTGGAATAAGTATTGAAAAAGAACAACTGGTTCTACAGAAAGACACTAGGGTTGTTTTTTAGGCTAAACTCTTTCTTCACTTGTGTATTATATTTCAGTTTCTAAAAGTAGTACACCAAGTTCAATTATCGGAGTGTGTGGTAGCAGGTCTATATAATTAATCTAGGTTGTGTTCAAATTTTGAGATGTCACAACAGTAATATCTGCTCATCCCAAGGCAAAGTTGTTATCAGATAATTTTTCCAAATGCGGTTACTGGCATTCCAAATGCGACGTGTTTTGAAATTGTGAAAATTCCAGTAGAAAATTTTCTTACCGTTGTAAGTATTAGGTGAACTTGTGAAAGTCCACTAGAATCGATTGGGTTATGATGTGCTTCAAGTGTACTTGGTCCACATCTCACCCATTTACACGAGCTTCTGGTGTTACGGGACTTCTCTCTCCAAAAGTTTATAAGTGAAAGGTAGTGACGGGACTGATCACTTATCATCTTTCATTTATTATTAGCAACTTCCTTTGAGGCTGTCTCCTAGGTTGGTTGAGACGAAAATGTGTACCACGATCATCGAGATTTCCTGACAAGTACTTCGAGTTCGTTCGACTTAAGAGTCGGTTGTGAGGAGTTGATGTAGCTTTTAGAGCTTCCCTTCGATTGCATCCATTTTCTTCTTTATTCCTTGCAATTCTCTGAGTTCAGAGATTCACTCATCGAAGCATGTTAAACAGATGTGAAGAATCAAACGGCTGTATGATTATGAACCATGCGCTTAGCAGAGTCTTCCAACTATGTTACAAAGATGGTTACTGATTAAGTAGCTACGTGGACAGTCGCTTTTCATAGTCGTTCTCGCACTAGAGCCATATGTTTGAAGGGTATTTACGTATTGTTCTTTAAATTAACCGCACAGACATTTAAATGATTTAGCGTCATATCTAAGAAATATGTATATAAAATATTCAATGTGAAATTCATTGGAAAGCAAAGCTCTCTTATAGACTTCTTGAATATCACTGACATCATCATTCAAAGAGCTAAAATATCCTCAGTCGGATAATAAGGAGTATCTAATTAATACAGAAGTTAAACTCCTTGGATTTACCACATGGATGAACACAATATCATTTCGTATCAAACTCAAAGATTTATAAATATATATCAGATATGTATAGAAGTACCTAGAGTTTAGGCCTATACTATCTCACCATGACATTCAACTACATTGGTTTATATGGAGGATGCAAAATACTTGAGAGATTTGCTTGATGGGAACCATGCGGAAAGTAATTTGCTTGATGGGACCCCTCAGGTTTAGTTTTACCCGATGGAACCCCAACGACGGTGTGCCGTCGGACATAGTTCTTGTAACTACGATTACTACTAGTTACAATGTGAGAATTACAATCAGAGATCAATCTCTGATTATAATTTCTGGTGGATTATCACGAGGACAAAAATTGATTTTGCTCGAAGTGCAATTTGTTGTGCTTCAATTCTTCCGATCGTAAAGATTCACGGATTTTTCTGTTGCCTCCCACCTCCACACTCCTTCCGTAACCCTGCGTGGTCCGAGCTCAAATCTCGCGATCACCCATTTGTGGCGAACAAATAAACTCCGGATGAATATTTCTTTGCTCGTCTCCTTGGAGAGTGGCCGGATACAGAATGACAACATAAAAACAAGTGAGTGTGATGGAGTGTGAAGTCCACTCTGTCTGCGGGTGGACTCGTTGCACTCTCTCTAGTTGTTATTAGAACATGGGTGACGGTGCATCGTTCATGGGGTCCCATCGGGTAAAATGAAACCTGAAGGGTCCCATCAAGCAAATTACTTTCCGTAGGGGTCCCATCAAGCAAATCTCTCAAAATTCTTCATTCCATTCTACTGAAAAAATCATTTACTTCCAATTGTTTTTTAAGCATAATATTACGTTGTACTATTTGCAACACTTGACCTTTCCTTAGAACAAAGTCATTCTTCATTATTTTGTAATTCACAACAGGTTTCTTATATGAGTTGTGTTTGTGACCTCTTTCAACGGGTTTTCCTAACTTAATATAAAAAATGTCCAATTTTAGCTAATCGGCTTTTCATACTACTTCAATCTCTATCTGAATTTACCAACCTGTACATTGTTAAATCTGTTATTCAAACTTTGGTTTCATTTCTTGTGCACATATTTATTGCATCACAACATACATTGTTATTCAGTCAAAGTTTCCTACACCCATGAACACATTCAATTTAAAAATTAAAAATCCAAAAATTATTTTCTACTTTTTTATAAAAACATTATGTTCATAAGCATATTGTATTGATGAAGTTAATAATGAGCCAAATCGAACGGTGGATTCAAAAGCTTCGAACGGGTGTATCAATTGCTATCATAGTTTCATTTCTAAGATTAAAGTTTCTCAATTTCTTAACATGTAACAATATTTTAAAATCTTTGTATAATCAAGTGTAGCAAAATTTTTGCTCCGCACAAACACACACACACACACAATTATGTATATATATATATATATATACATACATACATACATACAGTTATAGAAATATTTAAATAGCTGTAACATGATTTCTCACAAATTTCATTCCAATAAGGTTTTTATATAAGTATAAAATCAATTCTCATTTACATATCACTATATTGATAAGTAAATGAGAAAATCAATGAATAATTTTCAAGTCAATTTGTTGAACAAGTATTCCAAAACAGTTTATTATTTTTTGAAATAACTCAAAAAAATAAACCCTTTGTCATTTTTCAAAGAGACCTATAGTCAATAATGTAAAGCTACTCTTCACTTACATACGAAATGTATGTAATAATGACTGCATTGACTTAATGAAATTGATGAGCATCTAATTCAATTTGTTGAATGTTAACTCAAGAAATCAAGCTTTGAAAATATTTTATAGTTCTGAAATTCAATAAACTCATAAATTTATTAAATAATTCATATATTGTAAACTTAGATAACTGTAACACTAGTTAATACGACTAGGATTAGTTCATCATTATATGTAAGAGACTATTGTAGCTCTTTGCTACACAAACTTACAGTATGTGGTTATAAAAATTTTGTCTTCGTAGACTTAGCTTGTGAAAAAATGAATAACATATTTCATCTATCTACTCTTTCTGAATTGTGCATGTTTTTCTTGTGTGAGATTTTCAATTAATATCCGAGTAGTCAATTCATTTAAATAGCTTCAAAAAATCTTGTTTAATATCCAAAGCAAGCAAAAATATATCAACAAGCTATCTCTCACTTCATTCAATGTTAAGAATTAGGTTGATATTTTCTATCATCACCAACATGTAAGCATGGATGAAATGTTAGAGATAAATCACAAGAAGAGAATTAAAATACAAGAACATACGTCAAGACGCCAACATAGGAGTACATAGTTTGCAATTGCAAACTATGGTACTGAAAATTAAAATTAGTGTTATTGATATAAAATCGTATAATATTCAACAATAGTTTTGTGTAAATTCCATCTAAATCATTATATTTACGGAAAGTCCTAAAACCTAACTAGTGTTAAAGTATTCTAGTTAGAAGTAATAATTTTGTATTTAATTCATGTTGTGGAGATAACAATCCATATATTCAATCTGCAAAAATTTTCAAATTTTTTCTCTGAATAATGCACCCTTTACACTACAGCTAACTAGAATGGGTCATTTGGAAAAAAAATATAGATGTTACAAACTTGCTAATAAATTTTACTTGTACTACTTATTCAAAACCTTCAAAATAAAAAAATGTCTACAAATTTTTTTTTCAAAAAAATACTTTGATCAACGAATGAGCACAATTGAATTTATTGTCAATCTTGACTACCTCATTATTCTTATCACAATTGACACTTTGATAAATTGATACATTATGTGTATTACTATGATGATCATTATTTGATTTGTAGCCTGATGTAATGTGCTCAGACTAACACTGTGAAGATTCACAACCTCATGTTTCAATCTCATCTCAATGATAAACATATTCAACCAAATAAATTCATTTGCTGCATCTACATATTCAACTCATGTTGTAAATTTAAATATGCATTTTTGAAAAGTGAATCTTCAACTAATGTATCCATCACCAAGTGTAAAAACCTTTTTAATTTCTAGATTTCTTCTTGTAAAGATCTTGTACATAATTGGTAAAAAAACGTAGCCTAGCAAGTATTTGACATTGTATGTTTAACCATCAAAAAAATTATCAAATTTCTTAATATTATTCATGTACATAAAAATTACTTCCATTGTTTGTGTATGCATCTTTTCTAAACTTGACATGTACATACTCATCTTGCCCAAAGCTTAAGCAATATCATAGCATACATCATGTCTTGTACATAGCACGAGATTCATGAGTGTGTTCACAGCTTTGTGATGATTTACAGTTGATGATATCTTTTCTTTTTCAATGTTATCGATTGAACATTGAGCTACAAATTTTTTGATATATGCTATCAAAGTAATCAATCCTGTTAAATTTATCAAAAAAGCATTGAATGTATTTCTATTGATTCAGCCATAGTATTTTCTTTTGGAAATCTTTATGAACATCCATCTCTAATATCTTTTTGTATTTATTCAAATACTTCCAAATGTAGATTTCAACTATTTCTTGCTTTTTCACACGTCAATTTGATTCTTTGATAAAATGAATATGTCATTTATGTAGAGTACTAGATTAATGGGATTGAAGATTTCATGATTCATTTTTCATATTTAAACATAAATTATACACATAGTGAAAATTTTTTGCTTTCATAAACTCATCAAATTTTGCATTCCACTATCTATAAGTTTGCTTCAATCTATATAATGATTTCAACAAACCAAATTAAAACCTTTACTTTTTTTTTATTTCAATTGGTTATGTCATCTAGATTTTTTCAAATATCAATAAAATGATATTATAACAACATAAATCTGATCCATAACCAAATTGAATATTGCAACAAATGCATATAAAAATCAAATTGTAGCATAATTTGCTACTCTTGAGAATGATTTGATGTATTTCATAACTTTTTCATGTATAAAACTTCTAGTCATTAGTTTCTTGGATTATTTTTCAACATGTATATCCATTTGCTATCAATCAAATTTTGATTCTTGAAAAGTTTTACTAGCTTTCGAAATCTTGTTATTCAATAGTGATTGCATCTCATGTTTCATAGCAATATTAAACTGAAACTTATTGACAAATGTTTGAGTTTCTTGAAAGGATAAATTTACTTTTCTTCCAAAATTAAAATCATTTTCATCCGCAGTATCAATATCATCATCTTTAAAAATTAATAATTAAACTTCTAATTCAAATATCATATAATTTTCATTAAACCAATAGGAGGATCTCTTGATAGACAAATTCTTGTTAGATTCAATCGTCTATTGAAGTTATTTGAGGTTTGAAGAACGAGCTTCTCCAACTCTTGTTCTTCAAAAATCTTCTCCACATGTACTAGAGCTTCTACTTGTATCACATCATTTATTACATAGTAATTAATTTATCATCCAACAACATGCATGAACAAGTACGAGGAGTCTGAAAAATCTTTGTTATTTTCAATGAT